GGATTTCTTGGTGAATATGTTCTGTCCAGGAATTGGTGAAGAATGGGAAGAGGGAATATTGGTGGAGTAAGAGGGAGAGAGTGGGAAGAAGATCAAGAGGCTGGAGTGTATTATACCTCCTGTCCTGCTGCTGGCACATGCAGTGCATGATGATGTTGGGTTAATATTTGCAGGAATGTTTGTAGCCAGTGCATGTGCTTTATTTTTATAACATTTAAAGTGTTAATCTAGTGATCACCTTTCAAATCCCAGGTTTTACCTTCTCTTCCTGGTTTGGTAGAAAGGTATAGGAAGCACTCATACAGGCACAGTTGGAATAGCAGCAGGGAGTATTCCCAGCTTCTGGGCTCCAGCTTTTGCCCAGGCACAGACACACAGTGTGCTGCTGGAGGGGATGCTCTGGCCTGGGCAGTCCTGCAGACACCTCTGGTTATTGGAGACAAGTGACTGCCAGTTTAAATGGACAGGTGAGCAGTCAGGGATAGTGACAAGCTGGAGAGACCTTTAACTCCAGGTGCTGAACAGCAGCTGAGGCTCTTGGAGCTTGGCTGGCTGCTGTAGTCTGTGGAGAGAGGAGTCAGTCTCAGGGGGAAAATGAGATCTCAGATTGAGGTTCTCTTTGGTTTAGGTACCTGTCTCATTTGAATGTCTCTGGAGGAATTTATTCCATCAGCATCTTGTCTAAGTGCTTAAAACCAGACTGGGGAATCCAGATACTGGCATTAAGTATTGGCACATAAACTGAGTAACTCTTTTCCCATCCACTCCATTTCTTGAAGTGCTTCTCTGTTCAGTTGCAATTCCAAATAGATAAAATAGCCTCATGCCTGTTTCTGTTGCTGGTGAAATGGAAAGCTTTGTAAGAGCTCTGCAAAGGCTGTAATAATTGCTGTTACTGTGCCTTTAGCCATGGCCTAACACCAGGATCTGAAGGTTGAAACTGGGTTTTTGGAATTTGCATTTCTTGTTTAACAGATTTTTTTAAATGAAAGAAATATTAGGAGCTTACTTTGGAATTACTTAAAAAACTGCAGTAATAAGAACCACTCTATTTAGAAGTAAGGCAATTAGTTAATAAGATACTGGGCTGTATATAAGTAGGGCATGAAAGACACTGATTAAAGATCAGAAACAAGTGTGTGAGGAGTCTAATGAAGAGCTCGGGACTAATATTCACTCAGAATGGTGTTTCTGATGGTGGGATGTGCCACATTAACAGACCAAATTATCTGTTGGTGAAAGTCAGTATCAGTTGAACTGCACTTACTGAAGCCAACAGGAACTTGGGTTCAGTGCTCGGGGTGTTGCTGGGGAGTGCTTTGCTGTTTTATAAATAGTCTAACACAGTGGGTGCTTATTAAAGAAAACACCATTAAATAGCCAGTGAACTAATCAGAAATACATACTTTTTTTTTCCCTCCAGTCTGATTCGCATCAGTCATCTTACTCTCCACAACCTCAGCAATTCCCACAGAATTCCTCTCAGCCAGCCTCCATTAACCAGACTCAGCCACAATCAATATCCCAGTCTAAGCACGTTCCTCAGCCACAGCAGGGTGCACAGCCACCCCATCAGGTCCAGCTGCCTTTGTTTAACTTTCCCCAATCTCCCCCAGGTCAGTATTCCACCTTGCATAACCTGGGACTACTTCAGATGCACCATCACCACCAAATTCAGCTTCCCAACACTTCTTGGCCTATTCATGGGCCTGTTATTCACTCTGCACCGGGTAACCCTCCTCATTCTACAAATGTTCCATTTTCTGTGAGATCTGGCAGCAGCAGCACCACAAATAACCAGAGCAGTGTAAGCTTGAATGATCCCAGTATCATCTTTGCACAGCCTGCTGCCAGGCCCATGGGAATCCCCAGCACTTCTCATGAGGGACACTGGCACAATCCTGTGACTCCAAACTCACTGGTGAACAATGGCACTGTGGGGAATTCAGGTAACTCTTCTCTGTTGTATCAAACCTCTCGCACTTTGTGTACAAGTGTTCAGTGTTACAGGAACAGCTAACTCTTTCAGTTTGTTTGATAAAAATATGATGCTTAAGAAACCAAATCATGACTTTCACCTGTCTATAACATTTTCATAGGGAAAAAAATAAGAATTGATCACCGTAACTTTTAGGCATTGGTCCTGTCTGCCATTAATGGCTGTGCAACAATGAGAAATCCTGCATTCAACTGAGAAACCTGCTCATCATTGTTTGAATCATGCACATTTCTGTGAATGTGCTGACAAATAATGGATTCCTTAGACAATCATGGAAACATTAAGGTTGAGAAAGACCTCTTAAGATCAACACATCGTTACATCATTTATTAGACAAACGCTGAGGTTGCAGCCATGAACTTAGAGATTGGCAGAATTACAGTTGTGCAAGTTGAATATTGTCTCCTCACCTTTAGTGCAATGTAGTATGATCTTACCTATTCTGTTTTTTCCTGTGGTTTGTTCTGCCATGTTTAACTTCCATAATCTTGATGTTGATTCCTGACATTACATTCTCCTGTGACAAGTGGGCAACAGCCTCTTGCCTCATAGCAAAGCCAAGTACATTGGTATGTTTGAGGCTGAGAAAAAGCAGTATATTATGATTAAAGCCCATTCAGTTTTCTTTGCAGCATGAACTGTGGCAGCCCCTAAAATTTAACTATTAACCTTTACATCATTAATCATGGTGGTGGTCTTCTGATTTATTCTGAGTGTGTAAGTCCTCCTATGTTTAAAAAAACAAATGCATAATATAATGTACTGGTGCAGTTTTTCATCCTAAGATGAAAATTCTGAATCTCCTGCCTAGCCTTTCTCTGTACTAATGATGTGATTGTCAGTAACAGTAGATTTTCAGCTGAGTCTACTGTTTTGGAGGAGGAATAATTCACCAGTGGGCTTCAAACATATGTTAAGATGCTGGAGATACATGATTTTCTATTTAAAGCTTTGTGGGGAATATATTCTGAAGGATACAGGAACTTCTACCCATGTGTTTTCTGTCTCCATTGTGCTCTGTCCCTCCCTCTCCTTTTTGGATCTTCTCATCTGTCCCCTTCTCCAGCTTTGTCTTTCCCTGAAGCAGCTCCTTCCAATCCACATGTCCTTACTAAGTAGCTGCCTTCTTTCTGACAAGCTCCATAAATTCTAATTCCTTCTCCATGTGCTGTCAGTCACAGTATTTTTTTCCCATCCCTCATCTTCCGTCAATTCCCAACCTCATCACACTCCTTTTCCTAGTTCCCAGTCATAGTAATTTTCTTCTTTGAAATGGAATCAGTTTTATTTCCTTTTTGGCTTAGATGCCATTAAAGTGAATGCCCAGTAGAGATGAGCTGTCTCTTGTCTGCTTGAAGCATGGGACAATTTGACAACAGTAAGTCTGAGGAAACTTTGTCCTGGCTCACATAACCTTGACTTGAAAGGAGCTACTTTAATTTTCTTTTCAGTAGACAACTGATCAGAAGTAGGATCACTACAAGCATCAAGACAGACAAGTCTTTCTCATGCATACTCCAGAGCTGTGCCTCATGTTGTGGGTCCTGCCTCCTTGGATGCTTGATTTCTCATCCTTAATGTTGCAAATAGAGTAGCTTTACAATTTATACATTTATTTCCAAAGTTTATATTTTTCTCTCTAAAAATATTTTTTTAAGTCAGTCCAGTGATCTAGATAGCAAGTTTCTTAAGCATGTAAGTATTAGTGGAATTTCAGTGTACATCTGAGAGTTACTTCTTGCAGTAGGATAATAGCTTTCATGTCACAGTCTGTCAGTGGTAGTGGATATTTATGTGGGATCAGACAGTAGTTCTGAACATTGTTCAGAATGTTTGTTTCGTCGTGAGAAAATCATAAAAATAGTGAAATCATAGCTCTTGATTTTAATGTTGATTCATCCCCTCTCTTCCCAATAATTATATTATAGTGAATAATGAAGTAATTTAGGTGGTAATTTTTACTGATGTATATTAAAAAAAAAAAAGTAGCACATCACATTAAGTGATGATCACATTAAGTCCCCTGCAAACTGTTATTTAAGATGTAAATTGTATTTGTGACTTACTGTTTAATTATTTCAACTTGCAATGTGCTTTTCCCTTTCAATTGAAAAATAGATCAGGGTTTCCAAGGACAGTTTGGTAAAATGAACCCTCCTTCTGTCCCTTGGGACCATGGGACCCCTACCCATTTTCCTCTCCTCCGAGGAGCGTGGCCTTACAATATGCCTCAGAACTACATGCAGCAGGGAAATGCCAGCTACCCACCGAACAAACCTTTCTACCCTCAAGGTACTAGAACCAGTATGTGAATCAACAGCTCATGCACCATGTCTGTACTGTCTCAAAGGCTTTAAAAGCCAAGCAATCATGTGTCACTCGTAGGCTCCCTGGAATCATAACGAATCCCAGAGTCAAATCAGCACTTCAGCTTCCTCTGTGGGTGAATGGAAATCTTTGTGGGAGGGAAGGGTTAAAATAAAATTCTGAAATCTGAGCCAGCGTGCAGCCTGTTGCACTTCCAGCCTCTTTTTCTTCGCTGCTGCTGGCTCACCTACAGCTGCCTCTGCTTCAGTAGAGGTTAAGGTGATTGGCCCATGAGTGTGTTCGGACTATGAAGAAATTATTGTTGTAATTCATTTTATTTGGCTTTTGTACCTTGCTTTGTGGAATGACTTACATGGATAAAAACCTGCAAGGTCATAGAATAATTGAGGTTGGAAGGGGCCTCAGGAGGTTTAGTCCAGCCCATCCACAGTCAGAGCAGCACTGACTGCAAAGTTGGGTCAGGTTCAGTTCATCAGGGAACTGGAAAGGACTGACTTGATTTCAGCTCTGATGTTTATGAAAGGTGAGGGTGTTCAGCATCTGGCAGGATGGGGAAAGGCTGTAGGAAAAAAGACCTCCACTACCAGAGAAACAATGCTCAAATTTGACTTGGAGGGATCTGCAGCTTCCATGCTGTGGAGGGTCACCTGCTGTAAAATAAGAGATATGGCCAAAAGGCAGCTTCTAAGAGAGCTGTGCCACAAATGCACATTGCTCACTTAAGTAACAGAATTAAAGAGTACCTTCTTCTCTTCGGAGAGCGGCTGCGCCTGCAATTGGGGGAGAAAAGCAAAAAATCACTAAAAATGATTAGCAGAACAGCTGTTTCATTTCCCACATCCTTCAGCAACAACACCAGGGCTTTTACTTCCCATGAGTGTTTTTGGACTGCTACACATGGCCCTGCTTAGACTGGACATGCAGTGAGCAAGAGTTTAGTGATGAATTTTTCCTGGTTTGATATCAGTAAGAGCAATTAACAGGATTTTCTCTGCAGCCTCTGGCTTAATGTGAAAACAAAGCTCTTGGTTCTCCTTAACATCTTCATTGTATTGTCAAATTTAGCTGAAATTGGCCAGCAAGTTCAAGAGTTAGAGAATGACTGGACAAACAGGCAGAGGGGTTGACAGTGGCTGTGCACTGCTACTCCTCACTGCAGGAAGTGCTAAAGGAACTGGGAGGTGTCAGAGTTCTGGATGAACTGCCACCTTCACTGCTGTGCTCCAGTACAACAGGTAAAAGTACTGGTAAGGAGGAGTCCCCTCACCTCCTTGGGGACCGGCTCCGGCTCCGCCGGTACCGCACCACCGGAGACCTGCGGGGCTTGTCCAGGTCCCTGTAGCCCCTTCTGCGGTGGTCAGGAGATGGGATCCGTTCCAGCTGTAAACAAGGGGGGGGAGATCTGTAAGTTCTGTTTCAGCAAGGTTTTATGCTATCAATAAAGATTTCTGAACAATGGATATTGCAAAATACAGGCAGCCAAGCTTCCCCGTTCCCAAGTATTTCTTATTCAGGAGTGAGTGGTGGTGCCCAAAATTGCCAACTGGAAACCAAACAGCCACTTCTCGTAGTGTTGGTTCTGAAGAAGTACAGCAGCACTGACTGATGGTCACAGGTCCTTCCATCATGACCTTTAGTTCTCTCCATTACATATGCATATAAATCAATTGTTCTACATAAGCTTAACACAGAGCAGATACAGATTTGTGGAATTCAAGAGACAGGAAAACATGGCAAACCTGAGAGTTGCTTCAGGGTCCAAGTCCTCACAAGCTGCTTATATGAAAACACATTATGAGGGGAGGTAAGAGTTGCCAGCAGCCTCCTGGTGCCTCCCCTCAAATATTTGTCATAGACTGTGAAGTGTCCTAAAGGGGTTCAGCTTCAACTACTCCTTTCCAAAACAGATCATCAAACAGTTCACCAACCTTTTCATCTTCTTCTTCCTCCTCCTCACTAGATTCTACATCATCCATGTCTTCTTCCAGAGCACTAACACGAGGCTCAAGTTGCTCAGCTTCTTCCAGAACATACCGTTTCTAGAAGAAATTGCAACTTTATTCAATATAACCCAATAAGAACAAACACCTAAGGAGACAACCATAGCTCACACAACAAGCCAGCAGCCAATCCAGCTACTGGACTTGGTGCAGTCAGGAATTCCATAACCATCTACATTTCCAACCTGCAGCCGAGGCAGGATGATATCACAAACACGTTCCTCATGGAGTAGCTCATCAATAAATTCATCCACGTGCATCAGCTCAAATTCTGGGGGTGAAAAATAGCATTTAAAAGACTAAAATTAAACTGGAGACTAAAGTAAAGACGAAAACACTTCAGACAACTTATGCCAACAGCTTATGCCCCAATTTTAAAGATTTATATTGCTAAATAGACGTAAGAGTGTTTACCCCCATTTCTGTTCTGACTTTTAATTTTCCGATAGTCGTTGTAGAGCGGCTCCAGGTACTTGTAGCAGTCGATGGCAGTGCCTGTCAGTCTCATGTACAGTGCTCCAAGCATTCGGACATACCTGGAAAGGAAACCTTTCCATGCATCTCAGCTTCCTGCACACTTAGCAGTTTGGATAAAAAAAGAGTTTTTTCCCACAAGTTTCTGAGGAACATCAGTACATGGGCCAGAATACAGAATACACAACCATTTAGATTGGCTCCATCACTTCCTTAATACCATCAAAAACATAATACACGTTATATACATAATATCTGTAAGGGGGCATTATCACTAACAAAGATGGAAAAAATACTGATGAAAAAGTAGATTAACATGAATGCCTTAACGCAGCTCATTCCAAATACTTCAGGCAGAGGTTTATTATCACAGAGAGCACATGCCACAAAGATGAGCCCTTCCAACAGGCCAGGTGACAAGGAGAGCAGTCTTAAAAGCAAGAAGAAAAGCTTGGTTTTGAGCAAGCCCAGTTTGTCAGGGCACAAAGAGCTAAACCCTGCACTGATGTTTCCCTGGCTGTTGTGGGCACTTCCCCTCGGTACAGCAACCTCAACAAGGGGGGGAGGAAAAATCACACTACAACTTACTTGAAATCTTCGTTTTTTATAAACTCCACGATGATGTCCTTCTCGGGCTGGATCTGCAGCATCTTCAGCGTCAGGCACAGGAAGGGCGTGGGTTTAATGTTCCCTCCATAGACGCCCCCCACGTACTTCAGCTCCATGGCCTTGTCCACCACCAGCTCGGCTGCGAGAGGCACGGGCCGGGCCGTCAGCGCGGGCTCCCCCCGGCCCGGCCCGGCCCGGCCTCCCGCCCGCCATACCCGTGAGGCCGAAGCATTCCTCCTTCCAGTACTTGGACTCGTAGATGCGCGTGCGGATGATCTTCTCCACCAGGTACTGCGGGTTGGTGCCGTGGATGCTGTGCGCGTCCTTCACCGTGCGGTTGGCCATGGCGGCCGCCGGGGAGGGCCGCTCGCCGCTCCGAGCTCACCCCGCCGGGCCGGGCCCCGCTCCCGTGAGGGCCGCGCCGCCTTCCGCTTCCGCCTGCGGGGCAGAGCCGCCGCCACCGCCGCCTCCTCCGCGGGGCCCGGCACCAACATGGCGGGGCCGCGCCTCCGCCCGCCCCCTGCGCGCGCGCCGCCGGGGGCGGGGCTCCGCTCGCGCTTTGGCGCGAAGTTCCATCGCGGCGCTGAGGGGACGCGGTGAGCGGGGGCCTGGGGTGGGGGGCTCGGGGCACAAAGCGCTCCGGCTGCGGGAGGTGACCGCGCGCTGGGACGGGATGCCCGGGGAGCCTGGGCACTCGCCCTCGCTAGAGATATCCCAGAATGGTCCGGACGCGATCCTGGGCAGTGTCCTCTGGGGCGACCCTGCTGGAGCGGGGAGATGGGACCGAAGGGACCGCTGTGGTCTGTTCCAGCCTCACTCGCTGTGTGAGGGGATCGGGCCGGTCGGGGGCTGTGTGAGGGCTGAGTGAGGGGCTGTGGGGGGTCGGTGGCTCGGTGGTGCCGCCGGAGCCCCTAGTAGTCCCGCGGCGTGTCCCGCCCGGCCCCTCAGCCGCCATGTGCCGCCGGGCTGGGGCGGTGAACGGCACTGGGGGCTGTGTGTGGCTTTTCCCCGACTTTCCAGACTTAGGAAATTCTTCCTTAGGAGGAAAAAAAAAAAAAAAGTAATTAGAAATCAAAACGAAGCCAGAAGAATTGAGCGAAAGCGAATCGGTGACGGTCTCGGGCAGCTCACAGCGAGGTTCGGTGTCCCCAGGGCGGGCAGGCGGCCCCGCCATGGCCGTGAGGGCCGGGCAGCCGCGGGAATGGAAAAGGAACCGAAGAACAAGACACTACTAAATATCCTCCTTTTTTCCTCATCCCTCAGGGAGGGGTGTCTGGGCTTTGGGGAAGGCGGGTTTCTTTGTATCAACTAGCGTTCTTAATGTTCGCCGAAAGAATTGAGAGCAATTCTATGTATCTTCCCATCTTTCTTTTTTTTCTTTTTTTTTCTTTTTTTTTTTTTAAATAATAATCAAAAAGTATTTGTTTCTTTGTTTTAGCTTTTCTTTGGGAATCATGAACACCAGGCAGCAAAGCAAACTTATCTACTCCTGGTATGGAAAACCCCTGAGTTCAGACAGGAAACTGAGGATTTCCCAGTACAAGTAAATAACATTTATTTCTCTTTTGCTAAGGGAAATTTAAAAGATGTTTCTTTACCTTTCTGACATCATTTAAGTTAACATGGCAGCCCGTGACAATATGAGTAAGGTTTTGAGCATTTTATTGTGACACTGTATTTAACAAAAACATTAATCTCTTGAATTATAAACTGCATAGTGTGTAAACAAAAACATTTAATCAAATCTGTGAATAAGTTTTAACTAACTGAACAACACATGAAAGCTTCTAATCAGGGAATTTGTAAGCATTGCAAGAAGGGGCATAACTAACTGTAAAGTTGACAGGACATCAGGCTTAATGATATGTGAGTTGTGAAGACGATGAAATTCTCTTCATCTTCTTGTGTCTATCACTTTCTAGGGGGATCCTTATTGCATCAGAAAGCACCAAAACAGAAACCTGTATACAGCTTGGTGACTTCATTTTAGTAGAAGGGGTGAATGCAGATCAGCCTTATGTGGCACAGCTCGTGGGTTTATATGAAGATGGTAAGAGAACTAAAAACTTACATTTTGTGTGAGAAATTTTAAAATGTTTTAAAGTTACCTTTTTCATGGGGACGTAGTTAGCATTAACAGTATGTCACTGGCCTAATTTATTAGGAAAATCAAGTTTTGGTAATCATGGCATCTGTATTCACATGCTCCCCGAAATGTTTGGGACTGATGGCTAATTTCAGTTACATTTGATACATAAATGGAAATTTAAGCACATTATAATGTTTACAGTCTTTTTAAGTAATTGTCTAATTTAGAAACAGTGGTCCTTGAGGAAGGCAGTCTGAGCTCAGGCTTTATTTAGAGACTGGAGAATCCACATGGAGCAAGAACACTGCTGTCCTGAAATTTGATCTCATTAGACATCAGGCAATTTAACAATAAAGTACAAGGTTGAATAAATGGGACTTGTTACTTCTATCTTTTGTAGAACTACTTGTTCATACAGAGACAGATGTGAAAAGATAAATCATGGGAGGTGGGTGATACAAAAATTGTCTGAGGCTGAATTGGAAGCTACTCATTGGCCATATCTGATTCTTTTGAGCAGCTTTTGTTCTTTTTTGTGCTGTAATAATAAGGCTTTGAGGGTTTTTAATCTTCTTTACCTTTTTTAATACACATAAATATACATAATTCCATCTTATTTATTTACTAATGCACTTTTTTTGTAGCACAGCTGAATATTATTTTCATGCTGGAACAAAACCCATGAAACTTCCTTAAAAACAAGATATTTCATAGCAATATTCCCTGGTTTGTCAGCTGGTGAAAAAAGTGTTTCAGGCTTCTGAAAGTACAGTGGCACTACAAATAACATCCTGAGATTTCTCACTTCTCCTTTTATGCCACTGCTTTTAGTTGGGGTTTGAGGAGATCACATCTGTGCCAATAAGGAACCTCTGTTTGTGATGGGGAGCTGCTGGTCTGGAGCTGGGCTCCAGGTATTCTTGTGACTGAGACCTTGTGCAGGTCTTACCTTAAAATTCTCCACTCTGACATTTTAATTTAGCTTAGAAAGTGGGACTTGCAATCTCTTACCAGGTGCTTTCTCACCTGTGTCCAGGGAGGATTTCTAGCTAAAGTCTGGCACTATCCACAGTAAAATTCTGATGTTCCCTGACTTCCTCTCCTCGTTGCAGGTGCCCAGCACAAACGTGCAGTTGTGCAGTGGTTCTGTCGTTCGGAGGAGATACCTCAGAACAAACGGAAGCTGCTCAAAAGAGAGATTTCTGCCCAGGAGGTGTTTCTTGATCAGGTTCTTGGCTATGACACTGATATAGCTGCAGAGACCATTATTAAAAGCATCATGGTATGTACTGCAACCCTTCTGCACAGCGAGGGAAGAAAGAGACAGCAACAGCCCTGTAGTGTTAATTAGAAACTAAGGATTACACGAGTTGCAGTAATAAGATCTGTGAATAGAAAACAGCTGAATTCTAAATTAACAGTAAACATTAATGTATGTGTGTTTTGATGTTTCCTGTTTTTGCAGGTATTACCACTACACTTGGGTGAGGAGCTGCCTATTATTACACTAAACAAGGAACAAACTTTCTATGTCAGACAGTCTTGGGATGGGAAGTGCTTTAAGGTTTTGTCCCCAGACACATTCTCTAAGCTGAAAGAAGCTAACAAGAAAAGAGGTGTCATCACAAACTCTTCAAAAGCGTTTATTCCTTCAGACATCCTTACACCTGTGAAAAAAGAGATGGAGAGTGTTGTTCGGAGTGCCACAAAACCAAAAAATGCTGATATGGAAATAGAATCCAAACATTCCACTTCCAAGTCCTCCCTTGCCAAGGGGAGGCATTCTCAAAGGGTGGCTAGTAATGACATCAAAACCCCAACAGCAAGGAAGAAGCTGGAGTTAAACAGTATGTATATGGCAATATTCTGTCCATTCAGTAGTTCTCTATGTGCTCCTCCCTTTTGGCCAGTTCAAACTATTGTAACATTCAACATCAATATTTTTAACTGCCTTGTTCAGGCTTTGGGATTAGCCCAAGCCTTGCACATCACTTGTTTGTCTTGTCTTTTGTTTCAAGCACTCTACTGCTACTGCAAATGCTTTATTTGTATCTGATAAATCAATTATAAAGTGCTTGTTGACTGAAATGCTACCAGTCAACCTCAGTTGACCTCAGAATGTCCCACTTTCTTTAATCTTCTGACTAATTGTGTACTAAAATGTTTACATTGAGCTGGTTGAATAAGCACATTTGATCCTGTGTAACGTGCAGTATTTTCAACATGGAACCTGACTAAAGTTGTAAATGATGGAGGTGGGTTAGAAAACTGAAAAAAATCTGTTTATCTTCCTTCTGTTTAGTAATTTTTTAGAGGAAGTGCCTTCTGGTGATCCAGTTCCTTGTCCCTGGAGTGAAGTTCATTTGCTTTCGTTTAAACAACAGCCAGCTGTTCCATGTCTTCTGAAAGTTAACCCAACTAGCCATATTCAAGCCTGACAAAAGTTCATTTTGCTTTTCCTTTCTAGGTCCCACAAGATCCAAAGGCAGGCTGCTGGGATGTGAAGTTTTGGGTCTTTTGGATGATGACTGTGATGCCATAGCACCATTAGAACCATCAGCCCCTAAAAGAAAAGTGAAATTCACAAGTGAAATTTTAGGCTCACCACCAAAGATCCCCTGCAGCAATGATAAATCCAAGCCAACACCTGAGGCTACAGAGCACCATCAGAGGTCCAGTGACACCCTACGATTGTCCCCCTACACTAAGGTCAAAGATTTCACTGAAAAGGACAGGAATCTTCATGAGAAAGATGACGTTCTGTTATCGTAAGTGACAGCATTTTTATCATTGTTTTTGTATGGGATTTCTATTCATATGAAGCTCTCTTAAAACACATTTATGGAAGACTTCTGGAGAGAAAAGCAGGTGAAGTCTCTGTGTGTGCTGTGTTTTGCCCGTTGAGAGCAAGGAGAGAAGGGGGAGAGCCTCAGTGACAAGTGCACTGTGATGAAGAATTAGGAAATGTTACTTGGAGGTGAATGAATGATCAGGGAGATCAAAAGAGCACTTGACTTTCCAGATGGAAAAGCAGTTCATGGTTCCAAGAACAGAGAGATGATGTTGGAAATGGGAATGGTAGGATGACATGAAAGGACACTGAAGCCATGTTGCTGGTTGTTCTCGTGATGATTGTAGCCATCAACATGGATGAAAATCCATTTCCCTGCACTCCACAATCAAGGCTCAGATGTGCCTGACTTGTGACAAGTGTTGGGGGATGCTGGACTGTAGAAAGTGGTTTGATTTGCCTCAGGAGATTCTTCATGAGAATTGTATGTATACTTCCATGCTAATTTTTATGTAGTAAAGAAATGAAAGCCCACAAAGTGAAACTATACAAGTATATCTTCACACAGTCTTTAAAAATG